GTTATATGACAAACCTCTTGTCTTTTGGTCCTTGAAAAAATGTTACTGTGCCAGTCCATCCCTCTGACCTATAGTTGTGGTGATCTCTCCTAAGTAGCTTTGAATGTCTAGTTAACAACTCCTTCCAGTTCCCTTGGTGCCTGGTTCCTGTCTGTTCCTGGACTGAACTCGCTTTTAACCCCCAAGCAAGCTGCTCCTTCTGACTTTGCTGGAGCATCTTCTGCCCATCCAGCAATCCCATACCAGCAGCTCTACCCAGCTGCTCATATCCTTCTCTTTTCTCACACTTCCTGCTGCCATCTCTTCCTGTGTTTGCTGCCTGCCTTTTCAGATGCCTTTTGTTCCTCATTATGCCCTGGTGTAGGCCTCAGGTTCATATGTACATCCCACCACCCTCATGGAAAATCCTTTATGTTATGCCCAGATGCTGATTGATGAGGCTCCTCCACCTATGTGACCTGGGTTCTGCCATTAATTCATTCCATGCTGCTTTTGCTTTGATTTAAGTACTCCTAATGGCACCTTTTTTCATGTCTTCTTCTGAGTCTCCTCTGAATTCTCCCCAGATTTCTTCTCTGATCTTGTTTTAGTGAGGAACAGCAGAACAACTGTCATCTGTTGCTTTTCAAGTGACTCCGTGCCCAGCCACTCTGAGAGCAATCATTGCATACATCAATATCTGTGTGCCCTCATATCTAGGAAAGTTAGGGACGCAAAAACAAGGTGGGGGTTGAGGTGGAATAGATGGGGGTCTTTTATTAATTTGCTAGGAATGCCTTAAGCAAATAAGTGAGTTTGAGAAGTGTAAGTTCTGTAACATCACCTCTCTCAGATCAGTTGAGTAGAAGTCTGCATGGATGAGAAGTGAGACACCAGCCCTGAGCTGGAGCACCAAGCAGCTTCCTGTGAGAGCAAGGACTGGCTCCGCTGCAGGGCTGCTGGGGTGGCAGAGGAGCAGAACCACCTCTGCATAGCTGTGCCTCTCTCAGGGACCTTGAAGGGCAGGGTGGCTGTGGGAAGGGGAGGGGTGCAGGAGCAGCTGTGAGACCTGGGCTGTGAGGACTTGGTGGAGAACAGTGGTGGGCAGAGGAGCCTGCTCTGAACGAACAGAGGAGGTGACATTCAAAGAGCACAGCCGTAAGATGAGAAAAACAGTAACTTTGTGCCTGCACTTGTGTCTGAAAGCGGACAGGGTCTGAGTTCTCTTTCATTTTGAGCCTGAGTTATTCCAGCCCAGTGAATCAATTTATTTCTGTCTCTACTCCTGACATTTCTCTTTCAGGTGTCTGCTGCATGGTTTTGGGTGGGGCTGTGGGCTGGGGTGACTCATGTTTTCAAGCTCTTATCGGCATCAGTATGATGTTCTGCTTTTCTTTTCTGTCGTACGGCATCCCGCTCCCCTCCCCTTCCTCCCCTCCCTCTGCCGGCTCCCAGAGGAGGCGACAGACGGTCCTGTAATTTGGTTCCATTCGCTCGACTGGAGCAACACCTGCCCCCCTCTCTGGGGACAGGAGGGTCTCATCCCAAACCGTGCAAGGAGCCAAAGATGAATCTGAAGCTCACATGCAAATAGAGCTCAGGATAAAACAACATGGCCATTCTGGGCAGGAAAGGCAAAATCCGTCACCAGGGGAAGAGGCAGGAAAAACGAAATCGGCTCTGAAGAAATAAATAAGAAGCGCCAGGAGATCGCCTTTTCCTTTTGGGTCGGTTGCTATTGTGGTTATTGATCTGTCCCACCCTGGAGAATAAACTGAGAGTACTGAAAAATAATGGCTGATATTAGAACACATTTATTCACCCTAAAAGAACTGGGTTAATTGGGTTACAGGATGGCTAGATGGATAGATATGTGAAGAGATAGATAGAATGTCTCTGCTATTTCTTCACAGCCATATAATGGGAAAGATCCATTTCTTTGTTGAGTTTCATATACAATATCCTCTTCAGCTCCCAACCCCCCATCTCTTCTCAAACACACACACATTCCCTTTGCTAGAAGTACAATAAAGATATCAAATCACATCCAAGGCCCTCAGAATTTATCTGCTGTAAGCATCAGTGGTCATATCCTACCTGGTTCAAACACTTTTTAACACAAACAGTAAGACACAACTTTTGGCTGGAGAGTAATGTGATCCTGAATGCACAGTACCACGCACTTTGCTGACAGTGATGGTCTATGCATGGAAATTCTTCCTTTTGTATGTGCATATGTAATAGCAGGATAAATTCAAGTCTATATTTTGGAATATTTTGTGCTTGAGATCTTTTAATCTTTTAGGAAACTGTATGATACTGAGATACAGTTCCCCCTTAGCTGTACAGTCCTGTCAAAACCATTATGTTTATTTGGAGGAGTTACTTTTGGCTTGCTGTCTGTCCTCGTTTGCTGTATCAGGGTCAGGATCTGTTCCCAGGGTTCAGATGAATGCATTAGCTGCCCTGCTTCCTAATGATACCATGTGAGTGTGTATTGCACTGTGTCCCTGTGAGTCCATATAGGCCTGAAAATGTGTCTTTAATAGGCGTTATAGCCCAATGTTAGCATGCATTGGATATCCCTTGTACTGGGATATTCTAGGTTTACCTATTAGAGCTACTTGCTCTCTGTGAATGCTGGAGGTTTCCATTCAATGTTTTATATATTTTATATAATGTTTTAAATGTTTTATATATTGTATTCAGTTCAAGCCTAAAGTCCCTCTTTTAGAGTCAGCTAAGGGTCCAGAGGTAGTGCTCTGCCTTCACTGTCTGAGTGTGCTTTCTTTCGTGGTTTGTAGAATGAGCTTCTCTTCAGTTGTGAAAGAAAGGTATCTGAATGTAGCTAAAATACCAGGAAATATTAACTGTGTCCCTTCCCTTCCAGTTTTTGTAATGGCTGAGTGTGACATAAACTTCCATTCAGCAATTCCAACCCCATTCTTCCTATAGCATTGTTATTCAAGGTCATTCATTCCTTTATTGCTGAGGGAACATAGACATAGGCAAACTTTGATTATATAATTAGACTTTATTGCTATCTAACCCAGACTTGCAATGAGATGGAGTTAAATTTGTTTACCCATTCTTCATAAATCCAGACTTCTGAGCATTTAGCCATGCAGCCTTGTTTTTTGCATGGGCCTTGTAGCTTGTGCATACTACTCAGCTCCTTAAGAACAAAAAAAAAAAAAAACAAAAAACAAAAAAAAAAAAAAAACAAAAAAAAAAAAAAGGTGTGGAATGTGGTAGCAAAACCTACATTCTGTTTTCAACACTTAACAACTGCTAGATGAGAATGAGCTTCCTTCTTGTTGCCAACAGGAAAAATAGAAGTAGTTGGGGTGATGTTATGTTGGGGACAGGATTTAAACAGGATGTTGAGTATATGAAAGTGAGACAGGACTTGTAGGAAAAAGCAATTTCTTACATCAGATAAAACTTGGGAAGAAAAGCACATCTCTTCAGGTTAAGTGCCCTGACCCTTTTGCAGGTTAAACTTGAGATCTGACCCTTTGGATACCACCAAAAGCAAAACCCTTGCTGCTCTGTGTCTGAGTGCAGTCAGGCTCTCTGTTGTCTCAGGGATGGTAAAAATGGAAAAGCCCACAGATTTTCTGACTTCCTGAGCCTGTTTCCACACATCTCCACGCTGTGCTCCTCTTTACTCACAACACAGCAGCCTTTCTGGCTTATTACTCGGGCACAGGATCACGTGGCTGGGAACCTGAGACTCAAGCATTATCTCAACCTGTGCCTCTGACATGTGTGCGAGACCCCCAGAAGGGGAAGTGAGGCCAGGGGGAATGTGGGGTTGACACCTACGACTGCCAGTGACTGCAGCCATCAGGTGTTGCAGAGCACTCTCTTCCCCTAAAATAGGCATTCCCAATGGTTAAGAAGGAAATAATAGGTTTATTTTTTTATTAACTAAGTCCTCCCAAATGCTGGTAGCATAAAAGCTTTTTGGATGGCAGGATTTATAATATCACTCAGGCAATTACATCAAACTCCACACAGTGCCCTGATATTGAACCTAAGAAACAAACCTGTCCCAAAGGAAGCTGACTCTAAAGTTGGTGGAGTTATTTCAGCCCTGAAATGCAGGATTTGAAACCTGTGCATTGAACTACCAAACCAGTGTGTGCTCCCTTGGGACATGGCAAGCATGTATTTGTAGGAAATGGAATTAACAGTCTCTCTGACAGGTTTTCTGCATGGAGCTTTTCAGCTGGTCAAGACCACACTTAATTAAATCGCTGTGCAAAGTGGCAGCCATAAAAATGGGGTAGAGGGGAGGGTTTTATCTCTCCAGCAAGTAAGAATGGATGATGCAGCCACCAGAGTCAATGGCAGTATTCAAATTATAGGTAAAATTAACCCCTTGTGGGAAACGAAGAAAGGGCTTAATAAATGAAACAGTGTCACATTACTCAGGTAATAACCTGTCTGCCATTGAGTCTGTAGTATCTGTTCCATGTTTCAAATGACAAGATTTGGCAATTGAAGCCTTGTATGAAAGATAATGATTGAGGTTTTCTAAATAGGGAAAGGGCACAAGATTTTTCTTTGGTTTCAGTAGAATAAGACCTGGCCAGAGAGGGATCAAAGCTGAATTTAAACGAGAAAGAAAACCCAGTGCACTCAGGCAGGACACAACACATACATTTGGGTGGCAAAGCCAGACATTTCCAAGAGTCAGGTAGCAAAACAGGTGCTTGAAAGCATCAGATTGGATTGTACATCTTGAACTTTGGAACATGTGACCAGATGCCAGTCATGATGAGACTGGGAGAAAGTGACAACAAGGGTGCTGTGTCTCCTTTGCATTTGGGCAGGGCAGCCAGCTGAGAGCGGCTGGAGCAGGGGAGCTGTGGTGGAGGGACTGCAGTCCAAGTCTCCCTAGGAAGAGGCAGGTAACCTGTTGAAGCTTCCCACACACTTGAGAAGCCTTTGCAATCCTTATTCATAAGGACATCTCATGTCTGTCTTACAGAAGGACCAACAGGGAAAAATAATTAGGAAAAAACAGCTTTTATTTGATACTTTTATTTATATGCAAAACAGCTCACCATTCATGAGAGATATGAAAAACGCATCAGATAGAAACCAGATTTATCTATTTTCACTACAAAATATTGCATTATATAAAGCAACATAGACACACAAAAAAACCCTGAAAAAGACTAAAATCTTTGGATAGCAGATGTGTTTTTTTTTCTTTTTCTCTTTTGTCCCTAAAATGCGCTTCTTGTTTTAAGAGATTTACAGCAAAGAACATGAAACATTTTCAGGTTATAGAATTTTTTTGGTTGTCACAAAGGAAAGCAGTCCTGGATTTACTTTTCTTTCTTTTTTTTTTTCTTTTTTTTTTAGGAAAAAATGTCCTTTCCTAAAAATATACCACACACATACACACCCACGCTCACTCCCACACACATGCATGTGTACACACACGCACATATACACCCACAAAGAAACTACTTCCCTTATAAACGATTTTCAAAGTACTCTTCAGACGCAACTATAGATCAGAATAACAACAAGTTTTAAAAAAAGAAAAAACTCTCCTAGTTAAGTGCTAGTGGTTGTTGATCCCACACAAGGAAAGAAAGAAAAAGGTCAAGAACAAATGCCTTGATATATATAAAATATACTTATAAACAGGGGGGGGGGGGGTTGTGGTACACAAGTGCAATATAATTGGAGGGAAAAAATAAATTAAAAAGAAAATAAAATTAACACTGTATTGATCCCAACAAACACTCATAAAGTCAAACATAATATTCCACAGGAGAAAGTGTAAACACCCGACTATAGAAACCAATTGGCACGAAGTATCCAAAGTAAAATTGCCACCACTCTGAAAAATAAATAAATCTTGAAAAAAATAAATTGTCAACTCCTTCTACCATAAATAAAAAATAGTTATTTTTAACTGCACCCATGGGTCACACGTTTAAGGTCACAAGTAGATGTTTTTGGATATATATAAAGGGGCACTTGACAGCCTGAAGAGACAATCCGGTTTTACACTTCTCTTCGAAAAGCGGGCTCTGGACCGGGCGGGAGCCCTCCGGGGGGAGCACAAGCAGCAGGGACCCCCCGGCCCGCCGCCCGCCCCGGGGAAGGCGCTGCCCGCCGCGGCCGGACCCGGGGCGGCGGGACTGGGGGTCCCGGGGCTCCGGGCGTCCGTCGGGCGCTACACGTCCAGCACGTGGTTGAGATAGGAGATATAGCAGATGGCGAGGCGCAGGATCTCGATCTTGGAGAGCTTCTTGTCGGGGGGCAGGGTGGGCAGCAGCTTGCGCAGCTCGGCGAAGGCCAGGTTGAAGGCCTCCACGCGGATCCGCTCACGCGTGGCGTGGGCCGAGCGGTACTTGGCCGTGGCGCGGCGCCGCCGGCGCTTCTCCTCCCGGCTCAGCGGCGGCGGGTGCAGCCCGGGCCGGCCCCCGCCGCGGCCCTCCCCGCCGCCGCCGCCGCCGCCCCGGCCCTCGCCGCCGCCGCCCTCGGCGGGCTCCGGGTCCGAGACGCAGCAGCTGAGCGCCTGGGCGTCCGCGCCGCCCAGGGACTCCGGGTCGGAGGGCGCCGAGGAGGGGTGGTCGGAGTCGGCAGCTTGGTCCGGGCTAAGCATCATCTTGGAGGGGGCGGAGGAGCCTTCCCGAGACAGAGAAGCAGAGAGAGCGGGTCAGGGCCCCGGCGCCGGGATACAGGGGCAAGGCGGGGAGCAGGGACACGGGCAGGACACGAGGGACATGCCGGTCCCCGCGCCCTGCCACTGGCTCCGGTACCGCCCGACCGCAGCAGGGGGAGAGCCGGGTGGACGAGTTGCGGCTCCTTCAGGGAGTACTAATGAGAGCAATATCGGGGATAAACGGTACCCCGTCATTTAACCATCCCTTCTCTAGCGTTTGACAGCAGCTTCTCTGGAATATACTTCCTGCCGTTATTCCCTGCGCTTCCTTGGGTGTTGAAAGAGGCCCAGAGAGCAATAGATTTTTTTTTTTTCAAGCAAGCTAATATCCAGCGTTTCAATAATATGGTGATTCCCCGCCCCCCTCCCCGTCCAGGCCCCCAATTTTAATATTGTCCTTTCTCGCCTGCCAGTTTCTGCTTAACTGTTTCTCTTTCGGAAACGCTCTATGGGATCCAGGCTACAGACATGATACTTTTAAATACACAGCTCAAGGATACACAAATATAACAAGGCCAGTGGGGAGATTTATTTCCCCATTCCCAACGGGATTCGATGTATCTGCTAGGCTCTCCCCTCCGCTCTTTTCTCTGTGCTACTTCTTTTTTTTTCTTTTTCTTTCTTTCCTTTCCTGCTGCTAATCATGCAGACAGTGATTTGCTGGTGATCAATTGGGAATGTTTGGAGAGTTTCCGTTTCCTAAGCATCGGATTCAAAAAGAAACAAAACCTCAAAGCAGAGGCCGAACTTTTCCATCCCTTTAAATTTTCCCTCCTCTCCCCTCCCTGCGCGAAAAGAGGGGGAGGCTAAATAAATAAATAAATAAATTCGGACGTGCCTTTCAAAAGAAAATTGAATCGTATCTTCTTGCGGCCTCACAGAGCACCATCTGTCATGTAGACAGCAATACAAATCCGAGCGCGTCCGTGGACATGCCGGCATGTAATAAAACAATACATCAGGCAACTAGTGAATAACCTTGGACACAAATGTATGTGTGTGTGTGCGTGCGTGTGTGCAGCTGGGGTGTCGAGCGAGGTGGGGAGCGAGCCCAGTGGAGGAGGGAACATCCCATCCTCCCTTCCCCCGAATTAAGACTGCGAAGTATTTCCACATAAAGTTTCCAGGGAAAGTCCCAGTCGGGCCTCACACACGGCTGGGAAAAACAAACTATTATTATTATTATTGTTGTTGTTGTTAACAACAACAACAATAATAATAATAATAATAATAATAATAATAATAATAATAATAATAATAATAATAATAATAATAATAAAACCCATCACATGGGCAGGAGGAATTCTTCCCAGGCAGGGCTAGAGCCAAGCCGCCCCACAACGAGGCGAGACGCGAGGCACGCGTGGCGGGGCAGAGGGGCTCCGCCGGGGGCCGAGGCTCAGGACTGGGGAGTGGGAGAGAAGAGCTCTTCCTTCTTTGGGAAAGGGCCAGGGCCGTCGGAAACGCTTCCTCTTCGATTTTTAATAAGGAGCGTTAATCAGGCCCACAAGGCAGGGGTAGGGAAAAAAAAACATTAGCGCGCAAGTCAGGTATCAGGTCTCGTGGGGCAAAAAGATACAGAGGAAAGGTTTAAAATCACCTTTCAACTGGCATCCAAGCGAGGGGGCTTATGCAAAAAGCACACTAGAGAGGCAGGATTTTCAAGGTGATTATACGAAACGGGCGATTAAAGCGGTGGTTCCTGAAGAAAGTTGCTTAGAGGTTTCTCTACCGGTGTTGAATTTTGCTTTGATTTGGATTTATCTGTACGGTGGGGTTTGGCGAGCTGATCCAGAAAGAGGTTCTTCCCCCCCCCCCCCCCCACCCGCATACCCTCTATTTAAAAAAAAAAAAATTATTGTTATTATTATTATTACACTAAACCCATGGGCCCTGCTACCTGCAAAAGGGAAAGATATTGTTAAGGCTGCTTACCTCAGTGGAGTCGTTTGGATAGCCTCTCTCTCCAAGTCCCCTCGCCCCCTCGGCGATTCCTTTACAGTTCAAATGACCCTTCGGGAGCGGAGCATGGAAAAATTAAAAAACCAAAATCAAATAAAATTAATTACGAGCGAAAAAGTGTCCTCGAATAGGGAAAGGCAGATCTCATCCCTCGCCGCGGCCTCCAGCGCTCCAGTGATGGGAGATGTTATACTGTCGTGTTTGTTTGCGGAGTATAAATAACAACTTAAGTTACTTACGATGCATCAGGGGAGAAAAAGCTTTTCCCCATCAAAGTCTTCCTCCGCCCGCTTGTCCGGGGCAGCGGCTTCAGCGCACTGGCGGCTTTGACCGGTCGGTTTTAGAGGAGGAAAGTGCCCTCTCCCCGGTTTTCTTCCTCCTCTTCCCCGACCGCGATAAATAACAAAAGGGATGCGGCAACAGCACCGGCACCGTCCGGGATTATTCCCTCTCTCCCGCCCCCTCAGCCTCTCCTTCCCTGCGGCAGCCCCGCCGCTCCCGGGCCGGGCCGGGCCGGTCGCGGGGCCCGGGGCGCGGAGCCCGGGGCGCGGAGCCCGGCGGCGCTGCCGGCTTTGTTCCGCCGCGGCCCGGCGCACAGGCACGCCGCGGGTCGGGGTAACAATGCGTCGCTCCCTCTTTTCTTCTCTATTCTTTTTTTTTTTTCTTTTTTTTTTCTTTTTTTTTGGGGGGTGGGGGTTGTAATGTGAGGTTTTGTTAATTCACCGGTCCGGCGGAGAGGGGCAGAAGCGGGGGAGACGCCGTCGGAAAATGAATGTTTGGTTTAGTTCTTCTTCTGGTCCTTCAAGAACTGGCGAGGGGAGAATAAAAAAAGATAAACGAAACCCCCATCCGTCCCTGAGCTTCCTAACTTCTCCTGCATCTTTCGAGTGAAAAATAAAGGAAAATATACGAACGCTGAAAAAGAAAAACAAAACGAAATAAACGAAAATCTCGGCGCGGGTTCGGAGCGGCTGTGAGAGATAACGGCGGTGCAGGACAAGGTACGCTCACATGCATAAAAAGAAAGTGCAGTTCCTCCTCCCACCCCTCCCGGAGTGGCAAAGAAGCCAAGGAGGGGTGCGGAAGGTGGCAGGAGCGAGACAGACAGACGGAGCAGAGATGCGTGTGGCTCCACTTCTGGTACCAAAGGGTTTCGCCTAGAGATGGTCGGAAGAGATAAAGGCTTGGAGAAAAGGGGGCGGCATTTTTTCCCTCTTAAATTGGTATTTAATGGGAAAGCCTATTGGACAGAAACCTGGACACGAGTCACTTAATTGGACTTGACATCTGTCACAGTGTGGGAGTTTTCACAGCCCAAATATTTTCAGCAGATCAGATTCTCGCTGAATCTGTGCCACAAATTATAACAGTTGAGAGCAGCCCATGATATAAACCCTAGCCTCTGGATATACAGTCTCTAGCCGTGCTCGCTCCCACTGCCGTCGTCTCCCCCCGCCCAAATATTGGATACCCACTGATCTAGAAAAACACCGCTGGCATTTCACATGTAAGCTAATAAATAAGCTTTAAACATCAATTTTCATCACGTATACCAAGCTTGTGGAGAATCATCAGACTGGTTTCTTAGTTCTTTTATTTCGGTGGTCCCCCTGCTCTGTCTCCCACCCACCCCCAATCCAGTGTGTGGCAGGCATGGACCTGTCAGAGCCAGGGGGACAGAAAGGCTCCCACACTCCCTCTGCCTCCTGCCCTCCCTGCTCCAGTGCACAGACAATGAGGCGAGGGAGTCAGCCATGAGTCTGTGGCTTTTCTGCTCTCAAGGGGCTGGAAGAAGCCAGGCCCCTTAGTGCCTGAGTCAGGGGATGCCTATGACCAATGTGACTCCTTTTGCTGTCACCCTGCTCCAGCCCCTGCCAGATGGCAGTGCCTTCTTTGCTCTGATCCCCATCACCCTCCCTGCAGATCCCTTCAAATGGGTGCCATAGCCACTTTTCTGGGTGTAATAATCTTTTTCCATGGGGACTTTTCTGTGCCAGGAGCCTGAACTGGTAGGCTCTCTTTGAAGCTGCCAAAAAGGGACAGCAGGAGGCGTGGGTAAGACAGAGCAGAATTGATTCTGCTGCTCACCAGCATCTCAGTGGGTGGTTCTGGGTCCCATCAGCAAAAAGCATGGGGGAGAGGTGGCAGGAAGACACTTGCAGGGATCCCTGAGTGTCATCCATATGCTGAAAGATCTCTGAAAAGGGAGAGGTTCTGCACTTGATATGATTTACAGAACCATAACAAGAATGAGTAGCATACCTGAGTAATTTTGAGTTTTGTCTATTTATTTTTCTTTTAATGGTGGATACTGTTGCACAGAATATAACCCCCCTGCACGACACCTGGCCCATTAGGGAAAGAAATGCCTGAAAGTGGATCCCAATGAGCACTTTTCCCAGGGAATTTTGGGGATTTATCTCTCTTCTCCTACCCATAAGAAGTCTCCAAGGCAGCAGGAGGCTATCACTTGCTCTGACCCCACAAACTGGCACTGGTTCCATGGATATCCAACATGAGCTCAGCAGGGCTTCTGGAGATTCTTGGCTAAGCTATCCTTGCCTGCAGTGGGACATGCCAGGAAGATTCAGATGCAGGTCACTGAAGCTGTGGCACATCCCCAGTCAGCCCACCTTACTGGTAACCTTCACAGATGCTCTTTGGAGATCAGGATCTGAGCTGTTCAAGGTCACTGTGCTCCATGTTCCAACACCCAAGATCCCATTCCATCAAATGACCATGATCCCAGACTTCAATGAGAAAACTGTGGAGGAGACCTTCTCCAGCTCTTTTTTGACTGTGGCTCAGTGCTGGGGGCTTTGGCTTGCAGTGCTCCCCAAGGTGTAAGTCTGAGGCCTCAGCCCACAGAAGCTGCAGGTGATGGAATAAGTAGCTGGCTAAGGCTGCCACAGATAACAGCCAGGAAGCTGCTAATTCATGCAAGCCACCCTGCTCTCTGCTACAGATGCTGTCATCATATGGCTTGCTTTTTAGTTTTAATTTTCAAGAAAAGACCAAACAGTTGCTTCACAGTGCTGTTCAGTTATGATGGACATTTTTGACACCTCATAAAACACTGATTACTGCCCCTGGGATTTGATTACCCCACTGCTCCACTACCAGATATGTTAAATCTAGAGGATCCCAGTTTGCCCTGGGCATGCCAGGCCTGGGGTGTCTTCCCAAGCCTCTCTGGTGGGATACTGCAAATATTCTGACATCAACTGCAAGACACAGGGTGTAGTCTGTATCTTTAGCCTTAAAAAGACGATCAGAAATGCTGGAGCTGACAGCCTGGCTCTTCTTTAACCAAATAAAGCCCTAAAGCCCAGAAGCAAAGCCAAATTCTCATATCAGAGAGCTCTCCTGTCTCTCACCACTCACAGCTGGAGCAAGAGGCTGGTTTTGAGAGCTCAACATGCATGGGGCCAACTGGCCCAGGCATGGAAGTCACCTGAAACAATCAGAAATTGAGGGACAAAAGTGGATGGAAACTAAAAGTTCCACTTTGACAAAGGATGGATGACTATAGGTCTTTCTCAAGCTCTATTTGTCTTTTCCCTAGGAAATAGCTCACAGCAAGTAGAGACCTACGTGTTGGCAATCAGCATGGTCCCAAAGGAAGATGCATAGATGCAAAGCCACCTTATGATTTATATCCCCAAATACACACAGAGCCAGCCACAAATCTGTGCTTGGCCTCTTCACTAAGCAAGCACCTCACTGGCATCAAGGCAAGCTAAGATTCCCACTAAGAGGGAATCAAAGATGCCCTCATTGGCATGAACAGCACTGATTTAGCTTCTCCATAAAAGATGAAACTGCAACCTACAAGCTGCACCTGCTGAAGAGAAAGTGAATAGGAAGAACAGTGGCACAACAAGGGTCTCCAGACTGTACAATGGGCATCCAGGGGTGTTGTATGGCTGTGGCCTTACTGCAGCCTAAATCCAGGATAGTGAGCCTTGCAGCACAGGTGGACATGAATCTAGTGAAGGAGAATTTGTGATTTCATTTTGTCATGCTGGAGGGTTGTAAGGGAGTCATGAACATCTTTTCTTTACCTGGCTTGAGATGTTGCCTGGCTGGAGGTACAGGAGAAGGGGAAGTGGTTTCCTGTGGACAAAACTACAGCTCACACTGCTCCTTCCCAGAAACCTCTTAAGTTTAATGAGAATGAAAGGTGTCCAGAGAAGGACTCAGTATGAACAAAGCCACACCCAACCTTTGTTGGGGCCATCTCACTGAAAAGCAAGACGAAAATCATTCTATTTTGACTTCCAGGGCTTGCTGAAAAGCCAATAAAACCTTTTGATCTAGACTGCTCCCTAGGTAAGTCCTAACACAGAACTAATATTAGTTAATTCATTAATGATAGCCAATAAAAGTTACCCACTCCTGTGAGACTTACAGTAAAGTGTCACAGGCCACCAAACAATATCAAGTCATAGGTGGGACTGAATTTGTGACAGACACTCACAACTCATAGTTTTTCAGGCTTCAGGGGTATCAGACTTTGGAAAGACAAGATTCAGAAGAGCATTTTCTTCAGGATGTAGTACAAAGAGACAAGACTGAAAACAGTGCTGCCATGTAATGGCATTTTATATAAAGAGGGCACTTTCTTGTGTGAACATCTCATATTCACATTATGCAATGATTTCAAGGTGATGCTATTTGTGAGAATAGTCTGGTTTGGTGTGTAGCCTCTGAAAGCCTAAAAGGGTGAAGCACTAACACCCTGAAGTGGCTATATGTCCTAAAAAGATGTCCTTCTGGCCTGGAAAAGTAGAACAATGAAAGAATCCAACTGCTCTCTCCATCACTGGGCCAGATATTAGATATTGGGCAATAATTTTTCACTTTTAGCTTGAACAAATCTCTCAGGTCTGCCGCGGGGAGACATCAAACATGAGAACCCAGGATGCTGCTTTTATGGTGTTGCTTGTCAGAGCAGAGCTGCACTTCCATTACCTGCATGTCCTCTGTCTGCCGAAAGGACAGCTTTCTATGATGCTTGAGAACATCCATTCTCTTTTATAGCGTACGCCATTCACGTTGCTGGCATATGCTGCCCATTGAAATAAATGGAGCTTGTCACTCTTGGATGTGTTCCTTGGAAATAAACGGTCAAACAAATTAGAACACTGAGCCATGAAAATCCTTGTCCTTTTGAAAAATCTGTGCTGGATGTTGCTCATGGTTTCCTTAGACATTTGGGTGATATTTTTTGTTTTTCCATTGATCATGTTTACTTTCTCTGAGGCTGTTTTAAGAACAGGTCAGGAGTTTTGAGGCTGCTGGCAGGAACAGCCTGCAACGGGGTAAGGGGAAAAAAATAGTGTCCCATGAACAGAGGTTCATGGATGGTTCACCATGAACAGAGGTATCACAGCCACCAGGTCTGGATGTGGGTTCACCCTGTCTGAGGTCTGCCAGTGTTTGTGGGACAGGCAGGACCTTCTGCTGCTCCATCACAAATATGAGTGTGACTTCCCTGGGAGTGGCTGCTATGTTTAAACCAGTGGTCTCCAGCTGAGATATATGCTTTTGGACAAAATCCTATTATTTTTTGTCTGATTGCAGCCTTTGGCTTATGTCTCTTGGTTTCCACTTCCAGTCTTTTCTTTTGCTTGTTGGACTAGAGAAGACATGGCATTAAGATCCAGCTGCCACTGTAAAAAGCCAGGTGTGCTCAAGAAGGTGGTCATGCCCCTTGACTGCCACATTGTCTTGACTTCTCCAATGATCACAAGATACTCCTTGTGGTGTCAGTGAGTATTCACAGATCTCCTGAGAGAAGGGTATTTTGAGAAATGGAGGATGAAGAGTTTTTAAAGGCAGAAGGGACAACTGTGAGCATCTCCCACAGGTTGAAGGCTACATGACTTCTCTTCATTTCCTTTATGAACATTTTTCAGAAATAATACCCGTTCACGGTTTAAACATTGATGGTGGAAGATTCCCAATGATGCCTGGAAAGTTAGTCCTCCAGCTGTTTCTCCCACTGTTGAAAACACTGATGTGAAAAATGAGTGTGCACACCGTCAGCATCCAGCTGTGGGATTTTCTTATATTTTGGCCCCTGGATTAAGAGTTCTCTTTTATTATGTTATCAGGTTTAGGTGGGATTTTGTAAACAGGTATGTGCATGTGTGCTCTACTGCTGATATGCCTGCATACACCAGTTAT